GTGTGTGTGTACAGACATACAATGTACCTCTTGAAGGTCAGTCAGACCAAAATGTTGTGACTTAATAAACGTGTTAGCAAGTGTGCAGGACTTATATTTAAACTGTAGTGGGTCATTTCCTGAAATCAGTAATACACACAATTACTAACGTAAAGGGAAAACACATCTTAAACAAAGATGGGAAATAAATAAAGAAATATTTATATAAAAATAAACTCTTACAAAATATTTTCTATTAACCAGCAACATGGGGATTTAGATCTGGGAGCTTGCATTTGCTCCTGGGGTTAACTAAAAATGTGGCTGCTCGACCACCTTTCCAGACAACTAGCAGCAAAGTGAAGAGGAAATGGGACAGAGAACAAGTAGAAAACAATACTATCATACTTGACCCATAATCAGTAGTTTAATGTTCTGCTGTAGTTTCCCAAATATTCACTATTGGTTAGTTCAGACTGTTTGAGTTTTTATATCCAGTGTTTAAGTCTTCAAAAAAAAAGTAACAAAGAAAAAGTGCCCGTTTCTTTTTTCTTTTTTTTCTAAAAACCGGAATCTACACCACCAAACCTTTACTAGATTTAGTTGCAGTGAATCTTCAAAATGATCAGTAGTTTTCTCATCAAATAAATTATTAGTCGATTAACAAAAGAAAAATAAAATAAAAACCTGTTAGGCCTACTGTTTAAGGTGAGTCATGCCAGTAGACCAGTACGGCCTGTAAAAACGTTAAGCATGCAGCACAAAATGTCAATCAATTTAAAACACAAAAAGAACATTTGTGAAGCTGATAGCTCAAGTCCAGTGTCGTGGCAGATGTCCATTGGCATCATTATAATCGACAAAGTTGAATGAAAAAGCTGTGATTGCTGTAACACAAGGGCAGCAAGGCAGTCTCTCCACAGATACTGAAACCCACGAACAACACGCTAAAGGAATGTCCAGTAAATCTATCTATTTACAGGTATACACTTCTGTCCTCTCACTGCACGTGTTGCACTTGACATAGCAGCACCACAGGAACTTGCAGTTGCACTGCCAAACACGCGAGTACTGATGTGTGTTGTATCCCCGACCGCAGCACATCAGGTCACAGCTGTTGGGCTGCTGAGCTGTTTTGTTACACAGACGGCCCTGCGTCCCCATGCTTCCGGTCAGAGGGTCAGCCTCGCAGTAGTTGGGAGACCTCTCGATGTAGACTAGCTCCATGTCCTTGGGCTTGCGGTAGGAGTGTGGTTTCTTGATCTTCAGGAAGGCGGGGCGCTTGTTCCGCCTGGCGCGCACAGGCTCCACGTGAACAGCGTGGTTGTACTTGTCTTTGAGCATGTATCCCAGCTGACGGAATTTGGGGAGTGTCGTCCAACATGTCTTCGTGGTGCAGGATCCAGAAACCCCGTGACACTTGCACTCTAGGTGCATGCTCTTCTCCAGGACCTGTAGAGGAAAAGCTCAGATGAAGCAATCTTTTCAAACTTAAGCCATTGAAAAAAACAAATGCATGCCTCCTGATAAAAGAAGTGTGCACAATTACAATTTTTGTCCATAATGAGTCGGTGGGGGGGGGAGTCTAACACTTCAACAGGTTGAGACAAACATTTTCTAGCATTCCAAATGAATACAAGCATTCCAGGGATCTCAGAGCTGCTACAGTATGTCAGTCTATAGCTACCAGCAATACATGTGCCATTTTTACAAGTCAGGATGAGCTTCAAAAGACAATCTCTAGTCGTTGAAATGAATTGAATTACAGTTTCGGAGTGGAACCTTTCAGTGTATTTGTTACTACAGCCAGGGGACTCTGTCTGCGCTTCTGGCTGAATGACATCAACTTACCCTTCTTCCTCCTCACTGAGCGGGAACCCTCGCACGCATTAGAGCAGCCTCACCCTGCTTTTTAATTATTCTACTCTGATGTGGCCTCAGACTTTCTGGAGTCTCGTGGGGTAATTGTCAAAAGCCTTGGATGCATACAGCTTAGTGTGGTCATGCCCCCGAGACCCGGCAAACATTTAATTCATGGAGTTCAGTGAAGTGAAATCCCAGTGAAGATGCCATTGTTTGTCTAACAGAAGCCCCGTAAGCCTCCTGTGGCACCTTTTACACTCTTGTTTATTCTTCTCAAGAAATTGGAAGGTTGGCACTCAAGTCACACAGACTGACATTATCTCCAATTAAACATGAAAGCTTTCCTACAATAATTACAGAGGTATCAGTTTAGTAAGTGTATATTAAGAGATCCACGCACTGTATCGCATTGTGACTGATGTCAGGCCTAAAATATGAAGCCTCATCCCGAGAGACTTCGCACAGCCTTCTGCAAACAACATTTTAGATGCATTCCTCTAAAGTAAAGCTGTGCACACAGAGAAATTTTGACAAAGATTTGCTTAGATTTTTCATTTGATGCATGTACAGTAAGCGTCTGCGGGAACTGCTATTTCTGTCTTTAATACATAGAAATGAGGTTTTCATCAACTCTATACACAAAATAATCTCATCTCATGGTCAGTTACATGATCTGATGCCTGTCACTGAACAGAAACTAATATTTGATTCAGTTGAACTGCATAAAAGACTGAGCAGGATTTCCTTTTTACTTTTGTTCGACTACAATTAACTTTCTTCATATCTCTTCATCTATTAGCTTTTAATACTATTCTAGTACCAAAATGCCATTAAACTGCAAGAAAAAAACGTTTGAAGCTCAATAGGTCCTGATACATTTTTAATTTATTTTTATTATGGTGATATTCTATATATGAATGCTTCTGCTCAATGTCTTCGAATGGTTGATTCTGTGTATCGTGCTTCTCTGAGGTTCATCACTAACCGTAAATTTCAGACTCACCACTGTGAGTTATACTCTCAGGTAGGACGGCCTGCTTTGGTAAGTCAGAGGAACTCTCATTTATACAGTTTTATATATAAGGCGATACTTGGGTTGCTGCCTTCTTATCTATGTTCCCTGCTTGTAATGAAACATGCTGGTCGGTATTCTCTTTGTCCACATGGTTACTTGTTGCTTTCTGTTCCATTTGCCCGAACTGAACTTGGTAAAAGAGCTTTTGTCCATTTAGCTCCCTCGGCTTGGAACAAACTGCAGAAGGAAAATGACTGAATTTATTTCATTAAGTGCTTTTAAATCTAACCTACGAATCCTTGAGGCCAAGTCCATAACATGCAACTGTTTCAATTAGATTGATTGTCATTTTAACTGATTTTTTATTTATTTATTTATTTTTATTTGAATTTTATTGAATTTTATTTTATTTTATTTGTATTCTTTCACTTATTGTTGCATGTGTGTTGTTGCTGCCTGTGTTTGAGTAATTTCTGTAACTGTGAGACACCTGCTGCTGCCCATCTTGGCCAGGTCTCCCTTGAAAAAGAGGTTTTTAATCTCAATGGGATCTTCCTGGTTAAATAAAGGTTAATAATAATAATGATAATAAAATTTGCCTGTGTGTCCAACCACAGGTCTAAAATCAACTACACTAGATAAATCTCAAGAGCATCCTCCATAATGATGCATTTGCACAATGTTGTGGTCATTATAAAAGTTTAGCTTGTTGAAAAGGCAAATATTTCCTAAACATCTGGGAGTTCGTATTACCAGTTTCAGAAAAGGTAGAGATTAAATAAAGGAGCATATATTTTATCTTGACAAAATTTCAATGACCATCCATGTGTGGACATAGTCAGGGCATAACAAAATTCAGTAGGATTTATTCTGGCTGAACCATCAGTATTTATATAAAAAATGAATGCAGGCTATTCAACAGTTGAGATACCAGAGCAAGCAGCAACCTCTCAGGCTGAATAGTAAGGCCAGCGTTGAACTAATGTTCCTTGAAATTCTTCAAAGGTCAATCAGTCACCAAAGACTTGAAATGCCCAAATTTTCAACAGAATAATTACATCCCCCAAAACCATCAACCTGTCTATTAGATCCCATTACTACTATTCAAAGAAGCTCTACCATTTATTCATGCTTCAGTCTTTATCTGTCTTAATGGACTATGTAGTGCAGGCTTTAAAGCCATCACTTTAAACAGCTGTCTTAGCTAATAGCATACTAATATCCACTCATTTCTATGTTTGACGTGTCAGCCTTCAATAACACTGACCACAATATTGTATTAGAGCGATTAGAGCATAAACATAGGTATCAAAAGTACTGTGATGCAGTGGTTTGAATAATGTCTATCTAATAGACAACAATTTCTTCATATAAATGTGGAGTCTTCTTCATACATTAACTTAATTATGGAGTTCCACAGGGTTCTGTGCTAGGGCTCATTCAGTTTACATTATACATGCTTCCCTTAGGCAATGTTATTAGAACAGCATAGCTACTTTTTCGTTGTTATGCAGATGATGCCCAGCTTTATCTACCCATCTAGTTAAACTACGGACATGTCTTAAAAACATAAAGACCTGGATGACCTCTAATTTCTTGCATCTAAATATAAACGGAAGTTATTGTGCTTGGCATTAAAAATCTCAGAAACATATCGTCTAAACAGATACATATTCTGATGGCATTACCCTGGGCTCCAGTAACACTGTGAGGAATCTCTGAGTCATTTTTGACCAGACTATGTCCTCCTTTGTGCAAATATTTAGGACTGGTTACAGCATGCTGCAGTGAGAATACTGACACTGACATTTCGCCAATATTAGGATCTGTTCACTTGCAAAACTGAATTTAAAATCCCCTTCCTCAAAAGAAAGGTCTTGAATAATCTGGCATTATTCCATCTTAAAGCCCTCATAGTACCTATAGTATCAATAGAGCTCCTTGCTTCAGATCGCTGGTTTAATTGTGGTTTCTAGAGTTTTCCTAAATAGAGTGGGAGGCAGAGCCTCCAGCTTTCAGGCCCTTCTGTGAAACCAGCTCCCAATTTGCATTTTGGAGACAGGCACCCCCTCTACTTTTAAGATTAGGCTAAAACGTTCCTTTTGAATAAAGCTTATAGTTAGGGCTAGACCCTGAACCACCCCTTAGTTGCTGTTGCTTAGCTGTATAAACACTCTCAATGTGCTTCTACGCAACTATTGTGTTTAATCATTAGTTATCTGGCTCTCTTCCACAGTGTGTCTTTTGTGCTATCTTCTCCCCCAACACACCAGAAGGCTCGCCTCCCTTAGCCTAGTTCTACAGGAGGTTTCTTTGTGTTGAAAGGGGTTTTTCTTTCCCGCTGTCTCCAAGTGCAGTGTCATAGGGGGTCATCTGAATGTGTAATCAATACAGTAAAATTGAATTAAATTGAAATAAGCATGCTCACAGCCTTAAACAAAAACATTTATCTTACTCTATAACTATTATTTACTAATTTACTTCATAAGCGCTGCACTGGAGACAATTTTAAGTATAAGTTTCATTTAAACAGGCACTCAGCAGGTGGGAACCCCATGAATGGGTGCACTCAAAAAAAATGAAATTGGGTGGTTGTTAAATTTACAAAATTCAAACTTGTAATGTGAATAAAATAATTTCATGTTTCTGTGGTGAACGTAATTAAATCTAAAGGATCTGCATGAAATCCAGCAACCTAATTTATTCTTGTTGAGATGACAGGATACAATCAATTCAATTCAATTCAATTTTATTTATATAGCGCCAAATCACAACAAAAGTC